GAATCTTTAGTTTAGGCTTTTATTACACAGAAATATTATCTGTTGCCATAAAAAACATAATCGATTATATTTCTTACCCATTTAGTTACTGATAAGACAATCTAAATAAATTTATGCTTCTGTTACCCTGTGCCAGCTGTTCATGTCAACAACAGTTGACAATCTGACTGAAGCAACAAACGTCAATGCTAAAAACATAAATTGGTAGCTATTGAGGTATCAGTGAAAGGGCTCTACCCTATTTGGATTATAAAATAAGAAGCACCAGCAAGTCTCATTACTTCTCAGTGGATATATGGTTGAAATATAGATCTTAAGAAGAAGAAGAAGAAATATTTCCTGAGGCTACCATGGCTAACCATGCCAATGCAATTAATAAAGTCAAAATATTAGTTGTTGGAGATTCAGGTAATGCTAATTCTTGTGAAGGTAAACTAATTTGGGTAAATTTCTTTATTACACCCGCCACTCTGATATTGACAATTTTGGTATCGTTGGATTCCTCTCACTATACAATGCAAATGTGTAGATTTTATTGCACGGAAACACCCCGTTAGGGTAATTTTCTATATTACGTCCACATGACCGATATCGACGATTTTGGTATCGTTGGATTCCTCTCACTCTCCACATTGCAAATATATAGTTATTATTGTGCGCTAACCCCCGTTAGCGACAAACTTGGTCCCGATAGCAGGGGAGGGCATGAAAGGTTCCAGGGAAAATGCGGGTTAAATAGCACTAATAATATAACGCACAGTGAAAATAACCATGGTTATTCACATAACTTTCCATTGCAGGGGGCTGCGCCCCCTGCGACCCCCCCCCTGGGGGGGCTGCCGCCCCCCAACCCCCGCGAGGAAACAAAACCTCCACCACGTATTCACGGCAGGCTAGAGCTACACAATCATCGTCGATGTCGGAGCAGGGGGCGTATTACCTCGTAAGATTCTCACTGAATCAGCATATTAACCTTATTATAATCAGCATTGTATATAGAGACGATTGTAGTATAATCAGGATAAACACGGTGGCCCGCCCTTGTCGGCGGGGTTTTGCGCCTTTATCGATGTTACACCGATGGCCTCAAAGTCGAGTTTCCCTTCCTCTGGAATAACAACATTCGTATTCCTAACCGAAACAACCGTCGCGTTCAGAAGTCAGTCATAGTCGCCGCGATGGCCGAGTGTGGAGGGTGCTCGTACTCTGAGACGGATTTTCTGCGTGAGATTGCCATTAGCCAAGAAAAAATGCTAGATATGTGCTTCCGCCACGGCCTCCTTCGTCGTGAGAAAGATTGCGGCAAGTGCGGGCAGCCAGCACCTGAATGTGAGGTTGCATCACTTCCTGTGTGCTGCAGCGTCGCTGTATCCTCCGGCCTAGGACCTCCTGCCGGACGCACCCTGCCTCCTTCACATTTTGCGGCAAAGGAGCACCCTCCCTTGTAATTAGCGGCATTAATAAATCAGGTTAGTACCTTAAAAATCCTAGGTTATTGTAGGTTATCGGCTCCGCATCTAGTTCATGTGCGCTCTATCCTGCCGTGAATACGTGGTGGAGGTTTTGTTTCCTCGGCGGGGGTTGGGGGGCGGCAGCCCCCTGCAATGGAAAGTCATGTGAATAACTATGGTTATTTTCACTGTGAGGTTAAATTATTAGGGTAATTTTCTATATTACGTCTGGCGCTCCGACATCGTCGCCCCCGCAATCGGGACCAAGTTTGTCGCTAACGGGGGGTTAGCGCGCATTGTATAGAGTGAGAGGAATCCAACGATACCAAAATCGTCGATATCGGGCATGCGGACGTAATATAGAAAATTACCCTAATAATATAACCCACAGTGAAAATAACCATGGTTATTCACATTACGGAAATTTTCTACATTACCTCCGCCGCTCCGATATGGATGATTTTGATATCATTGGATTCCTCTCATTGTCCACATTGCAAATATATAGTTTTTATTGCGCGGAAACCCCCAGTTAGTGACAAACTTGGCCCCGATAGCAGGGGAGGGCATGAAAGGTTGCAGGGCCCCCTGCAGTAGAAAGTCAAGTGAATAACCATAGTATTTTCACTGTGGGTTATATTATTAGGGTAATTTTCTATATTACGTCCACCGCTCCGAAATTGCCGCCCCTGCCATCGGGGCCAAGTTTCCGTGAAATAAAACCAACATATTTGCATTGTATAGAGTAAGAGGAATCCAACGATACCAATATCGCCAATATTGGAGTGTTGGAGGTAATATAGAAAATTACCCATATGACTTACCACTGCAGGGTGCAACCCCCATGGGGGAGGGGGGGGCAGGGGGGCCAAAATATCCCCCACGTATTCATTGCAGGATAGAGTGCACACGAAGTAGCCAATAACTACCATAACCTAGCAAGGTACTAACCCGGCCTTTGGGGGGCTCCCTGATTTTTCTTTTTCTCCTGAACAATAGATGCCGCTGATTGTAGGGAGGGTGCTCCTGAACTTTTTTTTCTTCACGTCCAGGCGTGCTGACTGCCCGCACCTGCTGCAGGCTCTCTCCAGACAGAAGAGGTTGTGGCGGAAGCACATTTCCAACATTTGTTCCTGGCTGGTTGCTATCTCACACAGGAAATCGGTCTTGAAGTAGGAGCACCCTGTACACTCTGTCATCGTGGCAGCTATGGCGAAGTACTGAATGCGGCGGATATTTCGGTTAGAAATTTGAAAATTGTGGTTCCAAAGGACAGGAAACTCGACCTTGAGGCCGTCGGTGTAACACTGAAAGAGGTGCAAAACCTGCCGACGAGGACGCTCTTCTGTTCATGGTGTACCCTGATCATCCTGATTATATTACAATCGTCTATATACAATGCTGACCATGTTAGTATGCTGATTCAGTGGGAATGTTACGGGGTAATTGTAATATGTCTGCCACTCCAACATCAACGATAATTGTGTAATGCTCTAGCCTGCAGGGAATATGTGATGGAGGTTTTGTTTCCTTGGCTGGGGTTGAGGGGCAGCAGCCCCTCCCATTGGGGGTCACAGGGGCTGTCCAGTCATGTGAATAACCATGGTTATTTTCACTGTGGGTTATATTATTAGTGTTATTTAACCCCACATTTTCCCTGGAACCTTTCATGTCCTCCTCTGCTATCAGGGCCAAGTTTGTTGCTAATAGGGTGTTTCCGCGCAATAAAACCCACGTGTTTGCATTGTATAGAGTGAGAGGAATCCAATGAGACCAAAATCGTTGATATCGGAGCGGCGGATGTAATATAGAAAATTACCCTAATATGTTTTTCAGATTTTGTTGTTCTTACCCTATGGGCATCCAAATTTATGTAAGTTACTTATTACTGGTATTGCTGCCTGTGGAATTCATAGTCTATGGAGTATGTTTAAGTCTGTATCAGGTTATTAAATGTATCTATTTTAAAGAATTACCATTTACAGCAATTGTCTAATATTACCGAGAGTCATGCACAAAGATTGAGAAAAGTTGACTCCACTGTCTTATAGAGCATAAGAAAAAGAGCCATATACAACACAGGTATACCCGGAGTGACCTCATATTTACCGCTAAATGACCAAAGTATATGCTTCATGTCACTGCTAAATCCACAACATCCTCACTTAGCCAGAGTTCTTAACCCATTGGATTCGGTTGTGTCATGATACTGAAAATTCATATATAGCCAACGTCCAGGGCATGTGGCGTGTTGGCTGGGGGTGCAGTGAGTAGGCCAGGCTCACGCGAACACCCATGAGCAGTGACAAGACTGTGCCTCCCCTTTGCAAAGTTCTATTGTGTAAACTTTTTTAGCTCTGCCATTTTCCAATGTCCATATTTGTCTTTTGATCTGCTTTAGCCTATCCAGATGGCAATAGCTTATTTTCATTGTACAGACTCCATATCATATCTGTATGTAGTAATAACTTAGTGCAAAAGAAAAAAAGGTATACAACATTTGATCATTTATGTCAAATATCTTATTTAAAAAAAAAATTCAGTTTTCCATAATACAACCTGCACCGCTGATCACAGTGGCCAGGAATACGGTGCACAGCATGGAAATGGTGTCCTCCCTGTAGCCAGCGCTCATCCAGTCATGGCTTATGCACGTTACTTTCCACATTCGTTTATGGATGAGAATAATGCTAAAACCCTCTTTAAGTGCCAAATAAGTGAAATCACTCTCCAAGAGGTTTATGCACTTGTGGCAAATCTTTTCATAACCCTGGCCTTCGCTCACAATGGCAAGCTCACGTCACCTGGCCCTCAATCCAGATTTTTCCATGACGGGACTGTAGCATCATCTGGATTGTGGGGGTTAATATTGTATTTTGTATAAGTTGGCAGGAAATGCTAATAAAGGGGGGGGAATGAATAGAAGGCAGGAAAGGTTAGATTTGGATTTTTGGGTTCGCATTATACCCTGACTTTGGGACTTTGTCTCTGGATGGCGTGTCACTCTGAGTAACAAATACCAAGTAATATAAGTTGCTATAGAGCTAAGGGTAATGGAGAATTAGTATTTTATTTTGTATCACACAGCCCTCCAACCTTGCAATTATTAATTTTTTTTTTTCAATAATTTACTGTGTAACACACATGAAACTGTTCTTGTTTTCCATTGCAAATGACTGGTTTAGGAAATAAAACAAAGTAGACTATTGGTAATTATTTGTGAAGTGACTGTACCCCTCTGAGGCTAAATCCCTATTAGTTGATTTCTGGGAACACTTGACAATTTTGTTTGACACAAACCCCTACCCAAGTTTCCCCCAAATCCCCACCTGTTGCCATATTTTCCTACTTGACTTATGCTGAGTGAACTGATATTTCATATTATTAATATTTTTAACAGACTGTATTTTGGTTGATGATATCAATGTAGAGTTTGAGCCAGGTATTTCAGATGATCTAGTAATGGACAGGAAGTAAATGATGCCAATGGTGTGCTCCAGATAAACAAAAAGCGAAAAAGAGAAAATTTAAATGAAGATAAAGCATCTGAGGAATAAAGAATATTTTTTAAAAGATTTAAGATATTTATTTTAAATTCCATTTGTTACAATGGATATTCTTTGCTGTGACATACTGTCAGCTTTATTTTGCCTTCTAAATCTCCCCCTCTGTGCAAGGAATGGCCGGGGTTACCATTCACTAGTAGTGTGCAGGACTGAATGCTGATCAGCAAGATTTCAAGACCAGCATGTTCGCCGCTGCACTACACAGCACACTGAAAGATAGATAGAGAAAGTGACTCAATAAAAGGGAGAGAGAAAGTGAACAAACAAAAGGGAAGAGAGAGCATATGAAAATTAATGAGAGAAGAAAAATGAGGATAGAAAGAATTAAGTGAATAGGAGAGAAAGAAAGAAAAGAAAAGAATGAGAAAGATAGAAAGGGAGAATTAGAGAG